AAGCTGGTTTCCCTCATGGCAAAATTCTGATGTTTGAAATAGTTAAGTGGAATCACAAGTATAATTGCAGATTCCTAGCTTCAGAATGTGTCAGACAGTTGTATCGGACACTTGCTTGGGTAAATGATACGTCCATGTAGAATAGTGTCATTTTTCTTTGGAAACTTTTTCTTATTCAAAAGGTGATACATGTATAAAGTAGAAAATTTGGAAATTTTTTAAAGTATGAAAAATGATAATGACCCTTAATCCCACCACACAAAAGTAAATACCTATTGCGAAGATATTAGCATTTTTATATCCAACCTTTCAATATGTGTATGTTTTATATGAATATGTGTGTATATGCAAAGATCTTTTGAATTGGGCTTTTCAGGTTTGTATACTATTTTTTTTTCACTTACCCTTGAATGTTGAGCCTTTTTCAGGATCATTAAGTAGTCTTCAAAAACATGGTTTTTAGTGGCAAACCATTAATCCTTCATGTAGATGTACAATATTTTACCTAACTCTTCTTAAATTTTGTACAGTTAGGATGTTCCTAATTTGACTATTATGAACAATCCTGCAGTAGATGACACTTCACGTATGTAAATCAATGTGTGCATCTCTAATTGCTTTCTTAAGATAGAATTCTTTCCCTAGAATGGGAAAACTGGATCACAGGGTAAGAACATTTCATAAAACAAATAACATTCACATACTATAAAGCTCATTATTCAAGTGTTTAATTCAGTGGTTTTTAGTATATCCACAAGGTTGTGAAACTATTACCATTAATTCCAGAAGAAAATATGGAGCACTTCACAAATTTGCATGTCATCCTTGTGCAGAGACCACACCAATCATTTCTGTATCATTGCAATTTTAGTATGTTGAGCAAAACAAGCACAGTAGAAACATTTTAAGTCGCCTGAAACCATATACCAAAATTCCCTCTACAAGTGTGTAACTTTTTTTATTTCCACCCAGAAATGTATAAAAGGGCCTGTTTCCTCACAACTTTGTTGACACATTAAAAATGGCATTTTATCATTTTGTCTCTTCTTTATGAGACAGATTCTCGTTCTGTCACCTGAGCTAGAGTGCCGTGGCGTCAGCCTAGCTCACAGCAACCTCAAACTCCTAGGCTCAAGCCATCCCCCTGCCTCAGCCTCCCGAGTAGCTGGGACTACAGGCATGCGCCGTCATGCCTGGCTATTCTTTTCTATTTGTAGTAGAGAGGGGGTCTCACTCTTGTTCAGGCTGGTCTGGAGGTCCTACCCTCAAGGGATCCTCTGGCCTTGGCCTCCCAGAGTGCTAGGATTATAGGCGTGAGTCGCCATGCCTGGCCATTTTGTCTCTTTCACCAGCTCTTCTTCCTGTCCTGCCTGAACTATAGTTGTTTCATAGAACTCTGTCATCCTCCCTCTCCTTTGCACACATTCACTATGGGTAGTCACATCCACTGCAACAGCCTCAGATGCCTCCTTTCTGTGGATAGTGACCACTGCCCTAATCTGTTTCTAGCACTGAAGCCCAGATGTCAAGCTGCTCACTGGGCACACCTACCTACAGAATTTGCCAGCATAACAAACTCATGTTTGACATGAAACTCATGTCTCTTGAAGCCAGCTCCCACCCATGACTTCCCTATCTAGATTAGAGATACCACCCTTCTTCTAGATACTTCACAGCTATCTCTCTCTCTCTCTCCTCCTTATCTAATTATTAATAGTCATCCAACCATGTTGATTCTCATATCCTTTCTTTCTTCTCCATCCCCACTGCCATTGCTCTGGTTTTACCTATTTTTGTGTCTATTGCACAACATACTCACTTCTCTATGCTTCCAGTATTTATCCGTATATTTATTCTACATGTGGCTATGAGAATAACCTTCCTAAAATACTGCTTATACCATGTTGCTCTCCTACTCTGGAACCTCCAAGGGCTTTCTCTTGCCTATTGTATTATGTAAAGTAAATGCTTCAACCTGACACTTAAGGCCTACCATGCTCTTGCATCATTTTCATTTGACTTCCTCTGCACCTTATACAAACTGTGTTTTCTTCCTTTGGCGAATCCCCACCCTTTCCACTTCTGTTCATGCAAACCTGGCATGGCCTCTCTCCTAGTCTTCTCCAGTTGCAATTGCACTGAGTCTTCCAAAATTAGCTCAGAGGTTCTGTAAAGTCTTCCTTGATTCAATCAGCTGTGCCCTCTCCTTCTTTTAACTTTCCTTTTTTTTTTATTCAGCATTTCCTTTCTGATACTCATGCCATTCTGTCCTCTTTAATGTTCTTCTAGTTGTTTTTCTTCCACCCTCCATCACACTGTAAATTCCTTGAGCACAGGGCTTATATCTTCTTCACTATGGTGTGTTCCCTAGTACCTCTCCAAGCCTCTTAAATGTAGATAAGAGCTCCATAACTGCTTGGATAAAACAATGGTGACAACTGCCCATTGTTTTTTAGAGCTATTAATAACTCAGTTTTGGGAATGAATACTGTGCTAAGAAGGTGCAGATGCCAGATGACACGAGCATCATGGCTTTTTCCTTTTCCTTCACTCTCTACATTCAGTCTATCAAGAAGTACTGTTGGTTATACCTCTTCAAAATATCTCTAATAAAACCTTTTTCCCCTATCCCTACTGTTACCTTCCTAGAGCAAACTACCATTGTCTCTTACCTGAAAGAGGTTTCCTGGTTCTACTCTTGCCCCCTCCCCAAGTCTATTAGCCAAGTGAGACCTCTATAAAGTTTATATCATGTTAGTCCCCTACTTAACAACCTCTAACAGCTTCCCATTTTACGGAGAATAAAATTCAAACTGCTTACCTTAGCTTTTGAAAACTCTATCATCTGACTTATGTACCTCCCCCACCTCATTTCCCGCTACTGTCCACCTTGCTCACGGTGCTCCAGCTCTGCTGAATGTTGGCCCTTCCTCACTGTCATGTTTGCTCAAAGCAGAGCACATGGGTGCTGTTGTTCCTAATGGGGTCCTAGCCATTGTTGGCTATCATCTTAAGGCTCCATGTTTTTGGTAGTAGAAATGACTTGAGGAGTGACTAGAAGTAGTTCTAAGGGTTTTGAGATTTGAATCTGGGGAAAACCTTTGTGGATTCCATCTGACTCCTGAAAAATGGTAAGTCCAACAGTCAGTTTGAGCTGAAGGAGAGAAAGAAGAAAGGGAACTGTATTATTCTTGAAGCCTTCTTCCCAAGGGATGCTATAAATATTACTGATAGAAACCAGAGCTGGAGAACAAACATCTTCCACTTCTTTTATCACTTTGGGTGTTGGTTTAGGAAATTGAGCATTATAGCAAAATCTTTAAGGCCATCTGTTGAGTCAGATAGTGCTATGTGAACACGCTGCCATTTTCCCTGTATGTTCTTCTGAAGTCTCCTTCAGCCCTCTTGTGTTTCATCCTTAGCTTTTGTTCATAGTGGGGAAAGGAGAAAGCTCTCTTTACTTATTGAGATCATTTCATCATTTCAGATTCTTGTCATGCTCCCCTTGCTTTTAGAAGCTGCAAAAGATGCACTATCCACCTCTTTGCCTTGAGGATCATTGACAAGAAATAGTCTATGATACGTATGTTTTATCACACTATACACAGAAAAACTAGAAATTGCTCCTCAGCCCACTCTGAAAAAGAATTCTGAGTACTGCATTTCTAAACTACTAAGCCTTTTTCTTCCCCTGATATTTGCAAAGTTCTCCTGAGTCATCTGTATGGTTACTTTCTTCCAATTTTCTTTGGAAAAAGAGGTCTCCTTGTGTCTTAAAGAGTCCAATGTGAAAATGGAGAAATGGAAGCAGAAGGTCAAATGTAATGGCCCTGGGTAGATGGAGTTATTGCTCCCCATGCAGAAAGTCAGAGAGCACCCCCTGACACACAACAGTATGTGGAGGAGTCTTTTTTCCACCCAAACATTTCCTTCTTTTCTTAGCCCCTACTATGGGTTCCTTTTTAGCCAGGGATGGATCCTGAGGTGGAGTGTGGAGAGTTGGATCCAGTAGATTTACGTGGAGGACCTTGCCCTGGCTATTCAGAGGGGATGGGAGGTGGGGAGGCAGAATTGGGTATCAAAAGCCCCTTCTCCAGAAAGTACCCATCACAGATGACTCAGATTATAGCTTTCCCATAGTGACACGAAAACCAATGTCCTGAAAGTTCACTTTAAAATTACACAGACACAACATACACTCACACAGACACAAACACCAGTCACATTTTCCCCTTGGTTAGGTCTATAATAAGGAAACGTTTCCTGATCACCAGATTGCAAGGTCCCCAGGCCAATAGTGGGGTGGGGGTGGGCCTTCAAAGCTCTGTGTCCCTCCATGGTGACCAAGCTGCTTTTCCCCTCTTCTGTCAGATAAACAAGCCATGCATTGTTCTGGCCCCCTGCCTGTCTACAGGCTTCCCTTCCTGCTGAGCCTGCCAGAATGAACTTGGGTTCCTTCATGTGGGGCAGGTGGAATGTGCTGTTTGGGGGAAGGCTGGAAGAGACACAGAAAGTAAACAGAGCTAATCAAGGACGCTCTTTTGTGCTTGTCCTTATCCAAACACTTTCAAAAGAGGAAAGGGCCCGCATTACATTGTGGCACAGACCTCAGGATAAGCACAACCCCAAGCAACAGGGGTCACATTTTCCTTATTGTTCTACATTGGGGCAGAGCCATGGTTCTCTTTCTGCTAGTCCTCTCCCACCAAGTATCTCTTGAGGGGCCTGATGGGAGCCATGCTCAGAGACAGGTGGTGCCCTCAGAAGATATTGGGGTGACAGCTGACTAAGGCAGCTGAAGACTGACTCTTTCCAGAATTGGTCCACCTCCCCCCACTCACCTCTCACAATAGTCTTTACAAAGCCCTTTCTGGCTTATCTGCCACTTATGCCTGCATGTGCCTGCCCTCCTCTGCCCCCATGCCAAGTTCTTGTCCTATGAGCGCTTGGGAAAGAAGCAGTTGTCTGTCCCTTGAGCATAGGAAGTCACAATTGGTCATGTTATCTGGAACTCAGTTCTGTTAAGTGGGAGAGCCCCCTTTTCTCTCCAATCCAATCTCCCAGCTTCTTCCCCAAATCTCAGATTGGCCAAACTGCTCAAATTCCTCTCTTATCTTCCCTTACCCAAGGATTTCTCAAGTGTGTACTGTCTGTGCCCACCTGCCTACCCCCTCATCTGGTGACTACCCAACTCGCATACTCCCACCCTGCCTGCCTACTTCAGCCAGCCCCAGGAACCTGCTTGCACCTCTAGCCACCATTTCCTCAGCCTTACCCAGCACTGGTAAGGTTGGACTACTAACAAACCAGTTGCTCTTTATTTTGTTAGGAAGTGGGGAGCAGCAAGCCTCATCGGACAAGCTCTTGCATGGGCTGGGTTACCAAGTGGAAAGAGGAAGACATGGCGACCAGAAGAGTAAGGGAAGGCTGGGCATCCAGGCCTAAGGAATGACATGAAAAGAAACTGTTTATCCTGATGCATTTTTGTACGGAGGATTATTCCCTGGTATATTGCAATTCAAATGTGGTCATCACACCAGCAGCATCACTATCACTCTGGAGCTTATTAGAAAATCAGAACCTGGGCCCCACTCCAGATCTGCTGAATCAGAATCTGCATTTCAACAAGATCCCTGGGTGATTAGTGTACCCACTAAAAGTTGAGAAGTGCTACTCTAGAGTACTGAGTTTGGCTTTTGAGCCTTCTGTTAATTAGTCCTTTCTCTTTCACCTTCATTGGATTGAAGGAATAAGTTGTCTTGCTACTAAATTTTTCCCATTATTATTTTTGGTATAAGATAAATTAATAACAGATACAATTTATTGAGTGCCTGTCACATGCTAGGCATATTTTACAGATGAGGTAATTAAGGTTATGTGGCATGCCTAAGGCCAAGAACTAGTGAATGGTAAAGCTGAGACTCCAAGCCAGATCTCGATGCCTCCCAAAGCCACCAAACTTCCTCCCATGCAGTACCACCATACTATTGATAGAAGTCAGCCCAAACTTCCTTATGAGGTACAGAAGGAAGAAAGGGGGGGCTTTCAGGCCTGACTTCCCCAGAGAGGAAAGGCTTAGCATAGTTCTTATCCTGAGGGAGCTTGTGTAAGCCCTCTCTGGGGCCAGAAATTACTGGAATTGGGGCCAGAGGCCAAGGGAAACTGGAGTGGGTATCAGGAGTATTAATTAAGGGAAAACCCTAACTCTAAATCTCCAAGAAAAATTAAAATCTTATGCCTGATCCTGGACTTGGAGTGTACAACAAATCCATGTGGGACTGCTCTGGGTTCTGGCTATTGTATTGGTCAGTGAGGGCATCATCTGGAGCCCCAAGTGAGGCCTAGGGCTACTACATTATAGCATGCTATAGCTGGAAGAGTCATTTGTGACAACTGAGTTCAATGTTTTGTTTTGCAGAGAGGAAACAGATGCCCAGAGAGGGAGAGTACGTTACCATAGGTCAGAGTGAATTCATAGCAGATCCAGAGACGCTGACCCCAAGAACCACTATTCCAGCATTGCTAATGGCACCTTTTCTGGAGTTGGAGTCTGTGATGTGAAATTGAGTTTTCTTTGGATCTGCTCAAGTGTCCATGGGAAGTACAGACCCTGCAAATATGGGCCATAATGTTTGTGTGCCTCAGTATCTCAGTAGGACCTTCACCTTAGAAAATCTCTAAGTCACTTGCCCCCAGCTATGTAAAATCAGCTGCAGTGCTACCCCTCTGGACCTGGAGGCTGCTGGGCCTGGCTGATCTGTGATTTCCTTTTCTGGGACCCAGAGGACCTACAGAAATGGCTGGGTGGGGTCAACTCAGTCCAGGAAGCACAGGAATTCTTTTAAGTGTATGTGTCTGGGGTATTTTTCTCTCTCACTTACGTGTATTTTTAAAAATTCTTTTTAGACACCCACTTTATCTTTCCCAAACATCACTTCCTTACTCCTTTCCTGAGTTCTAGCAGTGGCTGGGGGCCCAGCTTCCTTATTGGCCTCTGAGCTGTAGAGGGGCTGGGCCAGGGCTCAGAAGGTTGGAGTAGGGAGCAGGGGGGCTGTTTATGCTGCTGGAACTGCCTTTCATCCTTCCCTTTGCCACCAGAGTGCTGGCTGGTTCCCAGAGCAGCGTCTTCACTCCTGTCCAGCTCTTGACACTGGCTTTTATTTCCCAAGGCTGTGGCCACATCTAGGCCCAAGAAAGCAGATGACCATACCTTGCCTTCGATGCTGCTCCTTCCTGTTCTTGGAACTGGGACCTGACTGTGACTGAGCTCCTTGGATCACATTTAGGATCTTGGGCTGATGGCCCCTTGCCCCAGAAGGTCTTGACTGGAGGGCATGTGGGTCCCAGCTAAGGGATGACTCTGGCTGGAAGGGTTGTCAGTGAGAATCTGAGCTAGCTGGATACTTCGTTCTCTCCTAAGCCATCTCTCCACCCTGGGCAACTTCCATGGTAGGTACAGCCAGTAGCCATGGCTGCTGTCCCTCTTACCCCCCATCCTGCTTTCTTCAATATCCCCTTCCTTTTGCTTCCTAAGAAAGGCACTTTGGAATAATGAATGATGGAGAATGTATTCAATAACAGTACCTGAGCTGGCCTTAGAAGAAAGGGCAAGTGCAGGGGTCATTGCCTCCATATTTAGTCCTAGAGCTGCATGGTTGGAAGTTGGCATTTTCTTACTTCTCTGTTTATTTCTCCTCATCCCTCTTCCCTAGGTAGAGGGGATGGTTTCAACTCTAGAGCTACTAAGACCTTCCTTTTCTGATTGCTTCTTGAGAGAATGGCTATGGAATGCCCCAGGCATACAAACTTTTTGAGATAGATCTCTCTTTGGGGAAGAGGGGTTGTGTAATATGGTAGAAAGAGCTGGAGGATCTCGGTCTTGATCCTGACTCTGCTGATTACCAGCTGTGTGCTCTTGGTAAATCAATTAAGCTTTGTGCATCTCTGTATCTCCATCTGTAAAGTGGGGATAATGATGGCTCTTACTGCATAAGGTTGGAGTGATGATTAAACCAGTTAATGCATGTGAAGTGCTTAGTGCCTGGCACATCTTAGATGGTCAATAAATTGTCCCTGTTGTCTTTTAAAGGGTTATAGAATATCTAGGACAAATACAATGCTGATTGATTTCACATATAGAACTACATTTAACCCAGACCACAACTCTTGATAAAGAGATGGTCATCTTCCCCATTTTAGAGATAAAGAATCTGTAAACTCAGAGAAGTGACATGCCCAAGGTCACACAACTAGGATTTGAATGCAAGTGCGGACTGACTCCGAGTCTAGGGCTATTCAGGAATAATAACAGGCCAAATATTAGACCCTATATATAGTTTCCTCTCCTTTCCCAAACTGGGGTTAGAAGGCTCCAGCTCCCTGTGTATTTTTCCTCTCCCACCCTTGGATTTTCTTCCAGTGTCCCCAAAGCCCCCACTTCTTCCTTCTACCTCCTTTGGGATTATTTTCTACTCCTGGAGAAACCCTAGAGGGAGTAAGGAGCCTTTGTAAGCTACGTTTCAGCATGGTAAAGGAGTGGTATAGCGGAATCTTGACAGTGGATGGACAGATTTGAGTACCCTTGGTGTGAGTACTCTTGAGCCATGAAAAAGGATAAATCTGGGCTAATAACCATTATTATAGTATCTACTATTTAGTAACCACATGCTATGCATCAGACTGTGTCCCAGGTGCTTTGAGAATATGATCTCTAATCCCTGCAATAACCTAGCCAGGTAAGGATTATTGTTCCCTTTCTCAGATAGAAAACTGAAGCTCAGAAGGGTTAGGTGGCTTTCACATACATACATCTAAAGTGGTAAAGTTAGGATTTGAACCTAGATGTGTCTCACTTGTTTTGTCTCATTTCCTCCTGTCTTGGAATAGTTGGTAGGATGAGATAACATACATGTAATGATGATGAACAATATAAAATATCATATTATTAGGGACCAAATTGTGAGGGCTACATTACTCAGAACAAGCTCCCTGCAGGTGGTGGTACTTAAGCAGTACCTTAAAGAGCAGGTAGGATTTAGGTTAACAAAAAGAGCAGAGAACATTCCAGGCAGAGAGAACAGTCAGGATGATAATGACGATTGGTTCAGGGCTTGTCAGACCCAGTTCTAAGCACTTGACATATGTTGTCTCATTTGACCTTTCAACAACCCCATTAAGTAGGTTCCATTATCCCCATTTTACTGCTATGAAAACTAGGGCTCTGAGAAGTGAAGTCACCTGTCTAAAGCAACAGAGCTGATAAGTGGTAGAGCTGAAACTCAAACCAAGGTGATCCAACTCTGGCGCCTGTGCTGGATTCTACTGGAAAATCCACGGTAGAGGCACAGAGTCAGAAAGGGTCAGAGCTGGTTACAGGGTATGGTTGGAGCAGAGACATGAGAAATTGAACTGAGTGGGTAAAGATAACTTGTAGAAGACTTTGAAAGTCTGATCCAGTTTACATTTGATGCAGGTAAGGGTAAGAAATAGAGAGTAAGGATTTCTTTTTTTTTTTGTTTTTGTTTCATTTTTCTTTTATTTTTTAAAAAAAGCCCCTAAATTCTATGGCTTCAAGGGAGCATCAGAGAAACATAAATGCCATTTCTGTACACTTTGTAAAGCAAGAACTAGACTCAAACGGCCACCGCCCCAGGCACGGCCCCAAGCTATGCTCCACCCGGCAGCCTCCGGGGGACCCCACTGGGGGACACGCTGCCACGGTCAGTGGCTGCCCCGCGCCCCCGCACACAAACCCGCGTAGCTGAGTCAAGGGCTTTAAGGCGTTTTGTCTCCCGCTGCTTCGCCCGGTGGCCGAATGCAGACCAAGAAGCCACTGCCCCCAACACAGCTCGGAGAGCAGGGGCGCCACTGCGGCCCGCCCTGCCTGGCAGGGCCTGCCCCCGCCGGGCCACTGAGAAGAGGCTGCGGGCAGCCTCGCCTGCCAGCCCCAGCTTTGGTGCAGCATTTTGGTTGGGGGTGGCCTCGGCACGGCCCCAGCCCCGCCTTCCCCTTTGGTTTCGGGGAAGCCCAGGGTGCTGTCTCACTCGTGGCAGCAACGCCTGTGCCCCCTCCCAGGTTGGCCAGGACGACACAGCCCTGACGCACTCCCTCCCAGGCCAGGCCTGCCCTCCCCTCGAGAAAACGGCCTTTGGACGGAGGGAGACAAGCTGGACTTTATGACGGTAACGGGGGCGGCTGCCCAGGGCTGGGGCCGCCGAGACCACACTACTCACTTCAGCAGAGAAACCAGTGGGAGAGGGCACAGGGCAGGGTGGGCCTCTGTTTTTTTCCTTTTTTCCTTGTTTTAAATAGTTAATGCTCTTGGAGGGGAGGACTAGACACAGGTGTAGAAATTTCGGCCAAAGTCTTACGTGAAGGAAGTGACCCCACGTCCCGGGGGTGGGGGCTGGCGGGCCGACCCAGGCCCCAGCAGCCCCTGCAGTCTGCGCCCTGGCTTCGAGCCAGAGTCTGGCCCTGGGCCACCACAGGCGGGCCTGGAGGGCCTTGTGGACAAGCTCACGGCCCGTCGGGCTGCACACAGATTCACGGCACTGCATGCACCCAGGGTCACTTGTGTCGCTGCATTGATTTTCTCTTTCTCCTCTTGAAGAAACAGCAGCATTTGGTGTCATCAGCCACCTCCACCTCTGCGGGCGCTGTGATAGGGGCATTGGAGTGACCAGCCGTGGGGTCATCTGCGTTCAGCTCCCCGTTGGTGGAGTTGAGTGCCTGGTTTTTGCTGTGCAGCTGGACTTTTTCCCGGATCTGAGACTGGGAGGGCAGGTCAGAGTGGACGGTGCCAATAGGTGTTGGCAGGGGCTTCCCAGCCCAGTCGTACTCGTAGTCGAACACAAAGCCGCTGCGGTCGAAGAGGTCGGTGAAGAGCTTCCGCAGGTAGTCGTAGTCCGGCTTCTCGAAGAAGTCCAGGCACCGCACGTAGCGCAGGTACGTGGCCATCTCCTCTGGGAAGTTCTCACAGAGCACCTCGATGGGCGTGGCCCGCTTGGTGTCCCCGATCTTCTGGTACCGCTCCTTGAGCGTGTTGGCCTTGAGCCCCTGCCAGGGCAGGCTGCCACGCAGGAAGTACATGAACATGTGGCCCAGGGCCTCCAGGTCATCGCGGCGGCTCTGCTCTTTGCCCAGGTGCGTGTTGATGCTCATGTAGCGCGCAGTGCCCGTCAGGCTCTTGTGCTCCCTGTACGGGATGTGCTTCTTGGTCTCGGGATCGATGTACTCCTTGGCCAGCCCAAAGTCGATGATGTGGATGGCGTGCTGCCGTTTGGTCCCCGGGCGCCCCACCAGGAAGTTCTCAGGCTTCACATCCCGGTAGATGAGGCTCTTGGTGTGCACGTACTCCATGCGCGTGATCAGCTGGATGGCGATCATGAGCACCGTCTTGAGCGTGAAGGTGCGGTCACACAGGTCAAACAGGTCCTCCAGGCTGGGACCCAGCAGCTCCAGCACCATGGCGTTGTACTTCCCGCACGGGCCAAAGTAGTAGACCTGAGGGACGCCCTCTGCAGTGCTGAGCTGCTTGTAGAACCGGTACTCCAGGTGCAGCTGTGGGGCCCGAGACTTGATTGGCTCCAGTTTGATAGCCACGTATTCGTTTGTGTAGAGATTCTTCCCTAGGCGAAGCTCCCCGAAGTTGCCACAGCCGATCTTCTTGCTGACGCGGAAGTTGGGGCCCACCATCAGGACCCCCGAGCTGGTCCCCGAGCTCCGGATGCCGTGGCTGCTGCGGCCCCCGTCGGTCTTGGACATTCTCCGGCCCTCCTCCAGCTCCCCTTTCCCTCCTTTCTTGTCAAAATCCATAAGTTTGTGATACCCTGGCCTCTCCACGGTGACTCTGCTGCCGTGCAAATCCCAAGTCCGTGGAAACCGGAGGTCGCGGCCCTGATGTGGCTAGTACATCACTGCGGCCCGGCGGGCAGGCGCAGGCGGCCTGCGGCTCCCGGCTAGTGAGACGCAGGCACTCCCGCGGGCCTGGCCGCGGTGCTCATCTCGGTGGCCTTGGGGTCGCTCTCAGGGAGAGGAGACATTCTGCTGACAGGGCCCACCGTCTCAAATCCCGTGGTTCCCGGCTGGGCTCCGCGGTGGCCGGGCCCGCGGGCGGCGGCTAGGTGGCGGGGATGGCCTCAGCAGCGCTCAGCGAGGCGCGGCCCCCGGGGGAGCCGCATGTTCAGGGCTGCAGGCGCCGGGCTGGCTCCGCCGCTCCGGGGCCGCGCCGAGAGTAAGGATTTTTGAGTGGGAGAGTTGCCCCAGTTCAGTCGATGTTTAACGTGGTGTGATTTGAAGGCAGTGACTGGAGGTGGAACGAGGGGCGACTGGATGGCAGACTAATGCAATATTTTGGACGTAATTGTCAGGGGCTTGGACTAGAACAGAGGGGAGTGGATTCTGGGAGGAGAGGTGTGATTCTGTGTATTGATCACAGTGAGAATGGAGAGAGAACAAACTCGGGCCAGAAAAACATCTTAAAAGAAGACTCAGTAGAACTCAGTGTGGGACTGGACAGTTGGGGAGAAGGTAGTACCCAGGCTGACTCCCCACATTGTAAAGCCTGGACTCAGAAGAACTTAATGAATCCTGAATGTGGAAGAAGCGCCGGGCATAGGAGATGTGCCCTGTTCCCCACTATATCCTCAGTGCCAAAAAGCATAGTACATAGTAGATGCACGTGGTACATAGTACCTAGTACTCCATGGTACTGCTACTAGTAGGTGCTTGATAAATAGCTGTTGACCAGATGACTACTGGTAACAGCAGTGGGAGAGCTTTCCCAGCAGCATGGCTTCGTGTGTGAGACTCTGAAGTGAGCATAGCCCCCAAGGCCTCCTTGTGCCTCAGCCTCCTCTCTGGGTACTCTGAAAACTATAGTAGAACAATGTGATTACAAAGCTGGGAGCCTCACCTGACTTATCCCACAATATAACAAGCTTGTGGAAGGCAGGGGCCCTCAGCCTACCCTACTCTGTACCATGAGTGCCCAGTATGAAGCCCAGCACAGTAAATGTGAATAAATTAGTGAAAATCATCTATCATCTATTTATCTCCCTGTCATCTACTTATAAATCATGTTTCCCTTACTCTGTCATTCAGCTCTCTCTATCATCCATTTATTTCTACTCTATACTTCTCTAGATCTTTCTCAGGGTTTTCTCTTTCTGGCATTTGTATTTCCCTCTTATCTCTATCATCTGCCTGGCCCATCTGCTTTCTCTCTCTCCCTGTTCTCTCTCTTTTCTCACTCTCCCTCTCTCCTCCCTCCATCCCACTCCTTCCCTCAATCTCTCTCCCATCAGTCATCTCTCCATCTCCCATGCCCCACACATGCTCTTCCCCGTGCCATTCTTCTCCACTCGCAAGAGTGGCATCATTCTTGTGAAATACTCCAGGGCACAGGGATGGATGGGTCCTGTATAAGCCAGTCAGTGCAAGAGGTTTGGCTGCAGTCTACAGCACCAGACAGATTGTGTGGCTGCATTCAGGACCATGGCCTTAGATCTGTTTCTTTTTATTCACCCCTGACCTGCTTAGCAACCAGTCTCCCTGCCAGCCTAGCACTGTACCATTCAGCACTTTGTTCTGTCTTCCCTTACAGGATTTGGGGCTCCCTGCCACCACTTTGCTGACAAACTCAGGTGTCTCAGCTCTTTGCCCATTTTATCCTTCACTCTCTTAATGCCTTTACCATACTCTGTTTCTCTTATTCATCTGTAAGCTCTCAAAAGCAAAGACTGTCTTGGATTCATCTCAGTATCCTCAGAGCTACACATAGAGGGAACACAGTAAGTATATAAAAAATATTTATTAAATGAATGAGTAAAAATTGGAGAATTGACAGCCCACTATTGACTTGTGCGAACTTCTCAATCACTTACTTATTGCTTTCTCAGAGAAAAGTTGGCTAGATTGACCAGATTGATTTTTTTTCCTCAAGAAGAAGTGAGGGTAAGCTCACTGATTATTGGGCAGCACCATTCATTTATTCCACAAATATTTATTGAACATCAAGTATGTGTCCTGCACTGTTGATCATGCCTGAAACTTTGTGAACAAAATAGCCCTGCAGAGCTGGTATTCCATATCTTAGTATGAAGGAGATTTGAGTATTGAGAGCTGAAGAGGGCCACTAAAATTTCCACACCAACTCCTTGCAAGATGTTCTACCTCACCAAAGGGAAAGAGGGGGTGGGGGAGGAAGCTGCCTGGGAAGTGATTTCAGCTCTGGTTCCCTAATCCAATTTCCTGTCCCTTTCTTGCTGCAGGAGGAACACCCCTGTCAGTAGGCCACACTCATGGCATATGGCCAAGCTTCTGGAGGGATGCCCTGAAGTGGCCACCAACATGCATTTCCCTTCTGAAGCCTTCAGCTTGTCCTGGCATTCCGGCTGCAACACAAGGTAATCTAGAGCCCTCTCCTCAAGATGAACTGAAGGGTGGACAACCTGGCCTCTTCCTCCTCTGCTGTAGTCCCTGTTGGACGTTAGAGAGCAGAAAATGAAGTGGAAATCCAAAGTACCTGGGCTTTAGTCCTAGTTTCTTTCTAACTCTCTGTGTCTGTGGGCTAGTCCCTTTCCTTCTGGACAATGTTTCCTTACAATACCTCATTTGGCTTGCAAGACACCACTCTGTCCTGCTTTTCATCCTGTTTCACTAGCTGCTCTTTCTCAGTCTCTTCCTGATTCCTCCCATCCACCTATCTCTTAATGTAGGAGGACCCCAGGGCTCAGTTCTGGCCCTGTGTTCTATCTACGCAACTCACAGGTGACCTCATCTATTGTTCGTCACCTCCGCCACAAAGCCAAAGCTTTCAAAATGGAGACCTCCCTGAATAACAGGGTCTATCTGCAAGGGGGATCACTCAATTCAGGGACCTTGGTGATGCCTGTTGTGGTTGAAACAGCTGCCCAAGAGACAGACAATATTTTCTGCAAGAGCCAGCAAAGATGCTGCCCTTGGCTGCCTTTTCCCTTCCACAAAAAGATCTATCTTCCACAAAGGGATTTCTGTTGAGGAGGTTCAGGGAAGCTAAGGATTGAGTTTGCCCTGACTCAGAGACTTTATTTGGCATTGGAAGCCAGGGGATCAGGGTAGAGGCAATGTTGTTCTGGAAGAATACACGGAACACATTCTGAGCTTGGCTCCTGTGTGAGTAGAGGGGTGTGTGTGTGGTTTCTGTTTGTTTTCTTTTTTTTTTTTTTTCAGCAGGAAGGGTGGTGTGGTGGGTAGCAGGTTCCCTTGCCAATGAAGAATTAATGGATTCCTAGCCCAGAGGACAAATGAGCAGAATGCCTAAGGGCAAGGCAGGGAGCAAGCATTAGAGAAAGCTGACCTGGGGGGTCTCATTGGCTGCTGCCACAGCTCAACTGTGGCCTTTCTGAGAACAGCCTGCAACCCCTGGGGTTCTAGTCAGAGGGAGTTACTGGAATGACTTGGCTCAGTTTGGCTTTGCGTGTGGGAAGTGGCACTTAAAATTCAAGATCGCATCTGATCCTCACCCTTTCTTTGGTCTCCCCAGTTTGGATTTGCCTAGGGGGGTGAAGGAGGTGTGGGTGGGCAGGGATTATTATAGTATCAATACTAGTAGCAGAGAGGATGCTGATAACAGTAACAAAAAACAAGATAGCAGCAGAGCATGCAGTGAACCCTTGCTCAGTGCCTGGGCTGTGATATGCGCTTCCCATTTATTACCTGGTTTCATCTATACAGCAACCCTCTGATACAGATATTACTATGATTCCCATTTAAAAGATGTGTGGCAGAAGAACTAAGACACTTGTCGACGGAAAAAAAGCCAAACTCTGTAAAATAATTTTAAAGAGATTTATTCTGAGCCAAATTTGAGGACCATGAGCCGGAGCCACTGCCAAGAGGCCTTGGGCAAGTGGGCTCGCTGTGGCTGGGTTACAGTTCAGTTTTATACATTTTCAGAGAGACAAGCGTTACAGGCAAAGTCACAAATCAATACATGAGAGGCATACATTGGTTTGGCCCAAAAAGGTGGGACATCTCGAAGTGGGGGCTTACAGGTTATAGGTGGGTTTAAAGATTCTTTGGCTGGCAATTGGCTGAGAGAGTTAGACTTTATCTAGAAGACCAGAAAGGATATGCTTACTTTTAAGATAAGGGTGGGTCCAGACAGGAGGACATTTTAAATTTACAATAGGCACCTGCTAGGATGTTTTAAGATGCTTTAAATTTAAGAATAGGCATCTTCTAGGATGCTTGAGTTAAGACAGGGGCTTCTTATCTTTTAGGTGATGTTAATGCCATACCAGAATCAGGTCAGGAAGTAAACCACTGCTTCGTTTGGTTAACAAAAGCCGCTTAGTGGGAATTTACCGTTTGTCAGCCTAACCATGCTGGCCTCCTTACCATTTGCCAGCCTAACCCAGCTGGCCTCCTTAGGAAGGAGTTTTTAGCAAAAAAATTAGAGTTCAGTCCTCAGACTAGACTCACAGAAGCCTGTGTTCCAATTCTGGCTCTGCTGTTTTAGCAGCTTAGTGAGCTTGCCAGTTTACTTTACCTCTCTAAGCTTCTGTTTCCTTGGTTGTAAGGTAGGACTAATACTCTGTCCCCTTCAGCTTGAAATGAAACCTTGTAAAGTGCCCAGCACGTTGTAGGTTCTCAGTAAAGAGTTAGAATTGCGGCCGGGCGCTGTGGCTCACGCCTGTAATCCTAGCTCTTGGGAGGCCGAGGCGGGCGGATTGCTCAAGGTCAGGAGTTCAAAACCAGCCTGAGCAAGAGCGAGACCCCGTCTCTACTATAAATAGAAAGAAATTAATTGGCCAACTGATATATATATAAAATTAGCCGGGCATAGTGGCACATGCCTGTAGTCCCAGCTACTCGGGAGGCTGAGGCAGAAGGATCGCTCGAGCCCAGGAGTTTGAGGTTGCTATGAGCTAAGCTGACGCCACGGCACTCACTCTAGCCTGGACAACAAAGCGAGACTCTGTCTCAAAAAAAAAAAAAAAAAAAAAAAAAAAAGAGTTAGAATTGCTATCAGTAAGAAAAGAATAGGAGAAAACCTAAATTCCAGCCTTGTCTGCTCCAATAGTTAGAGCTGGGTGATCTTTAGTAAAGTACAGCCTCAAAATGACTTCCCTTTGCAGGGCTTGCTTTGAACCAGTGGTTCTGAGAAATGCTGTCCCTAGACCAGCAGTACCAGCAGCACCTAAAGTTGTTAGAAGTACAAATTCTCAGGATCCACCCAGATCTAAAACTCTAGATAAGGCTCAGTTACCTGTATATTAACACACCTTTCATTTGATTATGACACACGCTCAAGTCAAAAATCACTGGTTTACAAATGATCTGGTTAAAGTTGAATCAGCCCTTTAGGGCCCCTCTGTAATGCTGATATTCTGTGATCATCTCTGCTGACAGAGAGCCACATACTGACGCCCTGGGGACAGGGACAGCCTAGAAGCAATTTCAGACTTGCTGATAGCAGGGAAATAGAGAATAACCCCTATGAAGTTGTCTCATGTTTAGTATTCATGGTGCTTCCCCATCCTTCTTCCATATGTCATCTTATCTCCCGTTTTACCATGCGCCTGTGGCGCCCCTGTGTCCATCTCCTTGCCTGTTTCCCTTTCTTCTTATTTTGCCCAATCTCCCCTCATTTGTAGCTTGGGAGCCTCTGGGTTCTCCTGCCTTCTCCCATGACAGGGTTGACCAAGCTGGGAAAGAGATCTGGTGACTTAGCTAACTAATGTGTCTCCCTTGTGCCTTGCAGTGACGTGTGTGTGCAGTGGTGTCCACTCTCCCGGCACTGCAGCACTGAGAAAAGCAGTTCCATTGGCAGCATGGAGAGCCTAGAGCAACCAGGCCAAGCCACCTATGAGGGACACCTCTTGCCCATTGACCAGAACATGTACCCCAACCAGCGTGACTCAGCCTACAGTTCCTTCTCAGCCAGCTCAAATGCTTCTGACTGTGCCCTTTCCCTCAGGCCAGAGGATCCAGCCTCTGCAGACTGCATCATGCAAGGCCCAGGGCCAGCTAAGGCCCCTAATGGCCAGCCTAATGTGGCTGAGACCTCAGGAGGTAGCCAGCGCACCAATGGCAGCCACCTGACCCCCAGCTCCCAGATGTCATCCCGCCCACAGGAGGGCCAACACGCAGGGCCTGCCAAGGTGGTCAGGGGCCCACCACAACCTCCAGTGAGGCGGGACAGTCTTCAGGCCTCCAGAGCCCAACTCCTTAATGGAGAACAACGCTTTCTGCCATCTGAGCCTGTGGACCCCCTGAAACAGAAGGAAAAACTGAGCATTGAGACAGTGCCATCTCCAAGGAACCCTAACAAGTTCTGCTGCCTCGGTGGACAAGACCAAGTGACAAGTGAGGACCATCAGAACTGTGAGCTCAGCCAGCCTCCTGAATACAGCCATCAGGGCTCTGAGCATCTACTGATGCAGTCCTCAGCCAAAGCTATTGGATCCCCAAAAACCCGTGACAAAGCTTTTAGATTGGATTCCAGCCCACTTAGTGAAGCTTCAGCAGAGCTACCTAAGGCTTCTTTTGGCAGCCCTCCACACGTCACAGGACTCACAGGACACCGCCATAGTGCTCCTGAACAACTGCTGGCATCCCACCTGCAGCATGTACACCTTGATACCAGGGGCAACAAGGGGATGGAGCTCCCAGCCGGGCAGGATGGGCGCCAGTGGACTCTGTCCCCTTTGCACAGCAGCCACAAAGGGAAGAAAAGTCCATGTCCCCCTACAGAAGGAACCCAGGACCATCCCAGCAAAGAAAGAAAGGTTAGGCCAGTGAATAATGATAGGCCTTTGAGTTCAGGACACCAGAGACAAATCATTTCCCCACATGGAGAGGCTGATGGACACCCTCCAGAAAGAAGTTTACTGGACCCAAACAGAGCAAGCAGAGCAGGCAGTGAATCGGCCAGCCAGCAGCCCTCTGTCTCTGGCTCCCTTGTCCAACAAGCTAAGGACTGTTCTTCAACCACTAAGATAGCCAGCAGCACAGAGTCAACTGAAGAAGGGGACAGTGAACCCAAGGAGTGTGGCCGGATGGGTAGTAAGCGAAGTGGAGGGACCCGGGGCCGGTCAATCCAAAACCGGCGGAAGAGTGAGCGGTTTGCCACTAATTTGCGTAATGAAATTCAGAGGAGGAAAGCCCAGCTCCAGAAAAGCAAGGGTCCCTTGTCACAGCTGTGTGACACTAAGGAGCAGGAGGAAGAGACCCAGGAGCCCCTAGAAAGCCCTCCATTCCCTGCCTCTAATTCATCTCTTCTATCTTCACATAAAAAACCCCCTAGCCTCAGAGACAAGCTTGTCAACAAAAGCATGATACTCAGGGCTAGGTCGTCAGAGTGCCTCAGCCAAACCCCTGAGAACCATGAATCTAGGACAGGCTTGGAGGGACAAACAAGCCCTGGCCAGAGGCCTAGCCAGTCCTCTTTGGGCCTAAACACCTGGTGGAAAACATCTGACCCATCCTCCTCAGACTCTGAGAAAGCAAGTGCTCCCTGTGGAGTCTATGGAGGTCATTGGAGATGGTCTCCAGAGCATAACCCACAGCCACATGTGGCGCTAGCCATGGAAGGCCCTTCCAGCCCAGATGACAACAATGAATTGAAGGCTTCTACTGCCCAAGCTGGGGAGGAAGTCATCCTCTTGCCCTTCGCAGACAGAAGAAAGTTCTTTGAAGAGAGTAGCAAATCCTTATCTATGTCCCATTTGCCAAGTTTAACCACTCATAATAACAAGGCTTTTACCCAGAGACCAAAACCTATAGACCAAAACTCCCAGCCAATGAGCTCCAGCTATAAGGAATTGAGGCACCATTTCATGGACCAATCATATCATTCCACAGACCAACCATATCATGTCACAGACCAATCATATCATTCCGCATCACCCCATCAGTCGGAAACTCCCACTTACCCTGAATACTTTGTGAGCAAAGGTCTGGAAAATTCCATGTGCTGTAAGCCACTGCACTGTGGTGATTTTGATTACCACAGGACCTGCTCTTACTCCTGCAATGTACAGGGAACTGTAGTCCATGCCCCTTGCATTTATTGTTCTGGGGAAATCTGTCCTGCCTTGCTAAAGAGAAATATGACGCCAAACTGTTACAACTGCCAGTGCCACCACCACCAATGCATCCGGTATTCAGCTTGCTATCATAATCCTCAGCATGGTAACCTCAAGGACAGCAGCTTGGCACCTGGCAGCACTTGGAAACCCATGAAGCCAACAGTGCAGGTGAGGACTTGGCTCTTGAGTGGGTGAGCTTCATTATTGTGAAGAGAAAACTATACGTGCTGTATTTGAAAATATAACAAGTGTAATTCCTTAAAACTGTATAGCCTAGCTCTACCAAATGATAGCTTAGTAACCTTGAGCAAGACACTCGGCCACCAAAATTGCAATTACTTCATCTTTAGAGTCAGATAAAAGTAACTTTTACTTTGTAAAATGGACAGAACAGGAATTTATATCCTGACTGTAAAATTGATATCTGAGTGACCTTAAGCAAGTCATTCAACCACCAGAATTTGGAATTACATGATTTTTAAAGGGAAAAAATAATTTTTACCTCATAAAGTAGCTAGTATTAAAGAAAGTCTTATTACCTCATCTCTAAAGTGGAGGAAAATCATGGCTGCCTCATGGATCAGCTTTAAGGATCAGATGAGATTGTGTGTATATAAAGTGCCAGGCCTAATGCATGATATAAAATAGTACTTATTACCTTCTATTTCCTGCTTCAAAACTATTTGGAGCTGCAAAATCTGCAAATGTCCCCAGGCTTTCCCTTTAGAGATCTGACTTTTCTGTGATTTTTCAAAGGACAATTCCTTTCTCCCTTCTCTAGCCTGTCTGTTGGAGACTCAGATCTAAACTCGCTGCTGCTACACCCTGGTTATGACCTGCCACCCTAACGCAAGCCACCACCAGGCCCCAGGGTACTTCTGGGTGGATCTCCTGTGTCCTTACCCACTCACTGCCAGTTTCCTTCCCTTTGGCATTCCTAGTGCCACCTTCTGGCTGGTGCACTCAAACCAGAAGTTAATTCCTGTTTTGCACTGTTCAATAGACAGACACTTTTGAAATGATTTAGTGGATGAATCTGCTTAATATATATTCTTGGAAAAAATGAACTTGAGGAGTGAAAGAAGCCTTACAGAAAAGAATACATACTCTACAATTCCTTTATATAAAGTTCTAAAACAGCTATTCTATGGGGAAAAATTCAGAATAGTGCTTGCCAATGGGAAGTGGCACAGAGTTTGACTTGAAAAGGACATGAAAGAAATTTGTGGGGTGATGACAATGTTTTATATCTTGATAAGGGTTTGAGTTACATATGTGTATTCATCAGAATTCAACAAATGTACAGCAAGCCTCCTAGAAAGCCAATGGACTTAATATTTTTGGATATCATGGGAAGTAAATTTTGCCTAAACTATTTTAAACAAATATCGAACTTTATTTAATTTGTATGCTGAAGTGTTTTTGAAGTATACCATGGTACACAATTTATATTTTCAGCATACAAATCTTGCACATGTTATATTTGTCCCTATGATTTCATGTTTTTTTTTTTTTTTTTTTTTATGCTATTATACAGAGTACTGTTTCCTTAATGTCAAGGTAAAATTGTTTGTTACTACTATATAGAAATACAATTGAATTATTTGTATTGGCCTTGTGTTGTGCAGTATTGCCAAACTCACTTATTAGTTTTAGTAGCTTTTCAGTAGATTATAAAAGATTTTCTACATAGGCAATCATGTCATCTGTAAATAGAAAGAATTTTATATATTTTTTTCCACCATGTATGCCCTTTTCTGGGATAGAGGGAAGGCTTATTGCACTAATTTCCAGTGCAATGTTTAGAGGAAGTGGTGAGAGTGGACACTCTTGCTTTGTTCTTAAATTTTCATTGTTAAGTTTGATGTTAGCTGTAGGGTTTTTTGTAGATGTCATTTAATGGAGGAAATTATATTTTATTCTTTTTTTACTAAGACTTTTCATTCAGGAGTGGCTGTTGAAATTTTTTCAAATGCTTTTTCTCTATCTGTCAAGAGGATCATGTAGTTTTTCTCTTTTAGTCTACTGAGATGGTGAATTATAGTGATCAATTTTTGAAATAAATATCAGCCTAGCATTGCCATGATAAATCCCATGTGGTCATGATATATTCTCCTTTTTATATGTTTCTAGATTTTATTTGTTAATATTTTGTTAAGGATTTTCCAACAATGTTTATCAGGGATTTTAGCCTGTAGTAGTTTTGTAACATCTTTGTCTTGTTTTCATATGAAGGCAATGCTAGCCTTAAAAATAAGTTGGGAAGTATTACCTTTTCTTCTTTTTTTTTTTTCAGGAAGAGTTTGTATAGAATTGATGTTATTTCTTCCTTAAATGTTTGGTAGAAGTCATCGTTGTAGCCATCTGGGCTTGGAGTTTTCTTTGTAGGAAGATTTTTAACTACAAATTCAATTTCTTTAATATATATTGTATCATTTAGGTTATCTATTTTTTCTTGAGTAAGCTTTTGTAGTTTGTGTCTCTTAAGGAATTTGTCCATTTCATTTAAGTTTTCAAATTTATGGGGATACGGTTGTTTGAAACTTATCTTGAATGCATCTAGAATTTAAGATGGATTGGTGGATGGATATAAGGGTAAATAGAGAAATGATAATGTAAATATAGCAAAATATTAATTATATAATCTAGGTGGTATGTATATGGGTGTTCACTAGGAACTTCTTTCAACTTTTGAGTATGTTTGAAAATGCTCATAATGTTGAACAATGAAGAGAGGAAAGAGAAAATAATGATTTAAGGGCACTGAAGCTGGAACCAGACTGCCTGGGTTTGGATTCCTTTCCTGGAACTTAGAGCATCTAAGCTTTCCCATCTAAAAAATTGGGGTAATCACAACACCTCCTTTGTAAGTTGGTTGCAAAGATTAAAAGATGTAACATGTGTAAGGCACAAAGACTGCCAGATAGTAATCATCTTATAAATGACTTATTATCTCTGAAAATAAAGGGAGATTTTGGCTTAGTTTGAGAAACTTCTACTTAAAGAAGGACCCATAAGTAGACAATAGAGAAAGAGGCCTGAGGTTGAGGGGGTGGTGAGGAGATGATGGTTGCAGAGATGTCACCTTGTAAGGGAAGGAGGTACAAATTGCAGGTTGCCATAATTGGTAGTAGCAATGCAGGTGAGCCTGTGCCTATACCATGCTCCTCCCTTTATACACTGAGGGAGAGACACATTGGCTTCCTAATGCCTGTTAGACTAGCTAAGCAGGTCTGCTTAGACACTGGGCTTTCAGACACTTGGATGGCTGTCTAGGAGCCACTACATGCCCATTTCCACCCTTGCCACCTGAACCTTCCTTCCACCACCACCACCTTCCATAAGCCATGGGGAAAGCTTGCAGCATGGGTTAAGATGCTCCAGCTCCGATGACTAATGTACTGTGCAGTGGTGGCTGTGTGAAGCAGGGCTGAGATCCTGCTCCTTACAACCCTGGATCAGATTGGCAAGCTCATTAGCTCCTGTTCAGTGCTATTAGAAGAACTGAAATCAGCATGTGCTTACATCCCTCATACTTCATGCCAGTTGGTTTTGCATATATTGTCAGATTATTTCACTTAACTGTTATATAAGTTATAATGGGATCCCCTGTTTTACCGCAGAGGAAGCCGAGGCTCAGAGAGGTCACACTTCTAGCAAGTGGCAGAGCCTAGATTTGAACAACATGACAGTAACTAGCATTTGAGTATCTACTGGGCACCAGGTACTGTTCTAGGTGCTTTACAATTTATCATCTCATTGAGTCCTCAAGCAGTCAAGAAATAGGCACCCTTATTATTATAAGACTATTATATAGTTGGGAAACTGAGATACAGAGAAGTTGAATAGCTTCCCAGAGGCCACATAGCTAGTGAAGGGCAGGTGTGGGTTTGAATCCATGCTATTTAACTTCAGGGGCCAAGCTCCCGATTGTGCCACACTGTCTCTCCACAAGCTGATCACAAAGGCCAAGCCCTCTCCAGAGTGGCAGAATGCCAATGCTTTCTAGCAGTATCACTTCCACTGGGGCAACAAGTTTCCACCACAACATCTATCTGCAACAAACTGTAGGGATGACTTCCTGTTTGGTTCAAATGGTACAGGCAATTTAAAGGGACATAAGTGGCTCAGGACAAAAAGTAAAGTGATACTTGGGACCTAAGAAGACAGTTGGGAGTTGGTACAAGACCTTGTTTGGTTTGGCCACTGCTATTTACTGAGCACATCCACAGGGCTAGACAGGGCATGGACAGGAAATCCTGGCTCCCACTGTGGCTGAACAAGTAATGGTGTCTTTGCAGGGAGGAACATCTCACAAGGGCATTGAGACAAAGTCTGAAGTACAGGTGATTAGAGTTGCTCTGATGTGTCAGATACAGGCAGGAATTGCTCTGGTCCTGTAAAAGCTAGAGCCAGGAAATAAACCTCAACTTTTCCATGGCTACTAACATCCAGAGCCTCCTATGTGCCAAGCATTGTGCTAAGTGTTCTCTCTGCACATCTCATTTTGTCCTTGTGTTTGGTAACCCAGGAACACTAGATAACATATTCTTTATTTGCCAGATAGGAAACTGAGGCTCAGGGAAGTGATATGAGTTCTGTCAAATACCATAGCTAATGAGTGTTTTAGCCAGTATGACTGACACCAAAAACCTGTGTTTATTCCATTTCACCAGGTATCTTACCCCCAAACGGGAGGCCTAGGTGGGAAAGATAATACAACCTTGAATGAGACTAATAATAATAGCATTGGAGAAACAGGGATATTTGTAAGATCAATGAGGTTTAGGAAAAACTGTGCATTCCCATTGGGCTAAGCTCTGAGTATCTAGGAAGAAGATGCTGGATACAAAATTAGGGAGAATCTGAAGGCTAATGTACTTTCAGTTTGTGGCTAGAATTAGGAAAGCAGAGACATTTTTGCAAATGGCACAAATGGTTTGGCCTAGAAGCAAAAGAGGGGCTTGGCCATAGCCCTCCAGGAAAAAACGCCCAGGACAGAGAGCCTACTCCCATAGTGTGGGGACCATGGCACCCAGCTCTCATGTTCCCTAGAGATGAGTCTGCCTCAGCCCATGCCAGCAGAGTGGGCAGGGAAGGAAGAACCACTGCAGCATGGGGACACGCCCGGTCTCCCTTTGTCTCTCCGGGAAAGAGGGCTGCTGCAGGAAGAGCTTCCTCGCACAAAGCCCCCTCAGGATCCAGGCCTTCCAAGAAATGGCTTTCTGTGTTGGAAGGGGCAGGAGGAATGAGCAGGTTCACCCAGCCAAACAAACAAAAAGACCTCCCCCTCTCATGCCTCGATGCAGGCAAGAGCCAGAGCAAACAGCAAACGTGCTAAACTGGTTTTTAACGTGGTTTGGGAGGGGAGTGGAGAAAGAGGGAAACAGCATTTCTAGACCACAGTGTCCAGGTCCCTGAGTGCTCTCCTAGTCTCTTGAGTGCCCACAGCAGCTTATCAGGCCTCCTGACAGGCAGCCCCCCAGGTACACGTTTCTCAAGCCTGCGTAGGAGAGTAGAAGGAACCAGCTGGGGAGCCTGCCTTGGGACAGGCTCCCTCCTCACATCTTTGAGGCCATCTAGATGCCTGGTTGCTCAGAGCTCCCTAACTTACTGGCTTTTGCTTTGCAGAAATTTCCTGGGGACAAATGGAAACCAATAACAGGAAATAGGAAGACCAGCCAGTCAGGAAGGTAAGTGATCACTGAGGGAGTTGGGATGAGTTGCTGCCTCTGGGGCTTCTGTAGAAATTGCTAAGGTCTTTGGTTTACTTAGCTTCATTTGAGGAAACTAGTCTGGTATCCATATGAAGGGCTTGATGCTGTAGATGTAAATTCAGCCTGCCCCCCAGAGAGCTCAGTACAGACTAACGTGACTGCTAGGGCATTTTGGAATATGCAGTAGTCAGGTAGTTTTGTGGGACACTGTGGCCATTAGCTCAGAGGCCTGAGGCAGCCCTGGCCAGGCACAAGGACACAGGGGACCAGACTGTGCTGAAATGGAAATGAGAAGGCACAAACTATGCCTGCCTTGCCAGTGGCCATGGGGTAATTGGAGTGGGCAGAGAAGAGGTAGGACTATACAGCTACTACTGTGCCTTCGCCCTAGAGTTGTTGGGGGTACCTATTTCTTGGGTTCTGCCACTTTCTTTTAATAGGACTTGTTGAGAACTTAAGGTCTGCTCATTAATAGTTTACACCACGTCCTTGGAGAAATCAGTCACCAGAGATATCTCTCTCTCTCTGTCTCTGTTTCTCTCTTTTTCTCCCCTTATTTGTAAAATCAGGTAAGATGATACTGACCATAGGCTAAAATTTCTGGAGGAAGCCAGGGGCACTTTTACAAATAGCACATGTGGCTCAGGCTAAAGGGAAAAGAGCCTCCTTGGGTGTAGCCCTTAAGGAAAAAATGCCCAGGGTGCAGAGCCTATTCCCATAATATGGGGACCATGACCCCAGCACTCTTGTTCCCCAGAGATAGGCCCATCTGCCCTAGGTGACTATAAGGAACAGACAATTACCTTCTCATGAGTTGTTCTCTATCAGCCTAGCTATACCCTCCTTTAGTGAAACTCCTTGATACACTCTTTCAGCCAGCTTTTCTCAGCCCAATATAATTATGAGGCACCTAAATCATATTTAGTCTTAACTCAAACTCCAGGAATAAAGGAGGAGACAGGGAAGAAGGATTCAGGTTGTATTTCTGTTCTCCCAGGTGGGGACACCAAGGGAGAGGAGCAGAATCTGGGTCTTCCGACCCCTGAAGAGTCCAGAGTTCTTTGTGGGTGTCCACATTAACCTCTGTGACTAGGTGGTGTAGTCAGAGATAATTTTGGCTTTCCTTTGGTTCCAAAGTCTGAGGAACCTATCAGTTTTCTACTTGGCAGTGGGAAAAAGAAGGAACTCGATATTTGTTGATGATCTACTAAGTGTTAGTAACTAGGCTGGACATTTTATACCCATAATCTCATTTATTCTCTACAACAGTTCATTTTGCTCCCCAGTTTATACATGAGATCCAGAGAGTTTATGTAACTTAGCTGAGGTCACACAGCTAGTAAGAGATGGAGCCAGGATTCAGACCCAGGTTTGTGTGGCCCCACGGTTCCTGCTTTTTTCCATTATTCCTGCTTTAATTAGGATCACTAAGGAAGCCCTTCAAACAGATACCTCAGCATCATGTCTCAGGGGTGTAACTCCTGGGTGGGGATTCTATGGAATTCTAGAGCTGATCTTGATCTTCCTAGCTCTGGACTCACTTGCACCATGTCCTCGGAGAAATCAGAGACACTGGAGATATCTCTCTGCCTCTCTCTTTCTCCTTTTATCTATAAAATCAGATAAGACTCCTAACCTCCTCACATGGTTGTTGTGAGGACCAAATGAGTTAATGTATGTAAAGCATTTATAATAAAACCTGACACAGATTGAAAAAATGGCGGAGTAGGAGTGTCCTCCAGGCTCTTTGCTCCCAGGGTGGAAAGTAGGGAAAGCGGACAAACACATCCGAACATCCTGCACTTCCACAGGAACAGCTTCGTAAACCTGCAGACATTCACCGGGATGCGGAGGGACAAGAGAGTCTTCAGCCCAAACCAAAGGTGAATCGGATATTCTTTGGCTAAACCAGGGGAGTTGGAAAGATACAGCAGGGAGGGAGCAAGGCGAGGTTTCGTCGACAGCCGGCTGGCTGCAGCATCAGCCCTACCTGGCGCTGTGAGACGCCCCACCATCCACCAAGCTCCACACCCACGTGGGCTGGGAAATGCCTGGAGCTGGTGGAAAGTGATGGTGCCAGGCAGAGCTGAATGGAGAGTCTGGATCAGGGAACATCGTACACTTTCCTTAGCTCAAAGCTTAGGCAGTTTCGGGTGGGGGAGGATTCAGCAGAGTTCAGCAGACACTCCCCTGCTTGACCGGAGCAAGGGCTCACTTTGGCCTTGTGCTGCAGGACACTCCTAGGTCTGTGTTGAGAGGAGTAGACCCGAAAGGAGGATTCGACCATAGATATAGATGAGATTTTGATGGGTGTGGAGTGGACAGAGAGCCCAAAGCTAGGTTCCTTGAACCCCGGGCCCTCTGCGAGTTGGGGGAAGTCCCCCTGCTCCTCCAACACAGCTCCCATCTTCCCATTACTGCGGTTGGCTTGTACTCTATGTTTGGAGGGGCAGTGGGGAGGGAATCAAGGTATGGGATACGTGATCTCAGGCGGTTGGTAGCTTCTCCAGGCACCCGCTCTCTGTGTCCAGAGAGCGGAGACGGGCGGCGCAGTGGCGAGGGAGGAGGCTGTTTCTTCAAAATATAAACGGGAGAGGCACTTCCATCCACACCCTCCCGCGACTCGGAACCGGAGTTTCATGCCAAGGGCCCAACCTCAACTTGGGGCGGAGCTGAGAGACTGTTCCCATCTCTGCCACTAGACCCCCAACTCTGCATTTAAAGAGACAGAGAGTGGAGAGTGGTGGCCCCCGCCACCGCCCCAACAGTCCGATCCTGGGAAGTCCCTGGCTTCTCCAGGCACCCGCCCATGCTCTGTGTCCAGAGACTGAAGCCCATCTCGGCTGGGCAGTGGCGAAGGAAACGGTTTCCCCAAAATATAAACGGGAGAGACATTTTCACCCAAACTCTCCTGCGACTGGAGACTGAGGCCCTCATCCCAAGGGTTCTGACCCCGCCTTGGGGCGCTGCTGAGAAGGAGTCTGTTTCCACTTCTGCCGATGAACCCCCAACTCTGTGACCCCCAACTCCGTGTTTAAAGAGACAGTAAGCGGAGAGTGGCAGCTTGCACCTTTGCCCTGCCAGTTGGATCCTGGGAAGTCCCCGGCTTCTCTAGGCGCCCGCACTATGCGTCCAGACAGCGGAGCCCAGCTCAGCAAGGCACAGTAGTGAAGGAGTCCGTTATTCCAAAATATAAACAGGAGATGCATTTCCACCCAAACTCTCCTGCGACTGGAGACTGGGGGGTTCATGCCAGGGCATCCGACCCTGCCTTGAGACGCAGCTGAGAAAGAGTCTGTTTCCATTTCTGTGCTAGCCCCTCAACTCTGTGTTTAAAGAGACAGTAAGCGGAGAGTGGCAGCTTGCGCCTCCACCGTGCCAGTCTGATCCTGGGAAGTCCCTGGCTTCTCTAGGCCTGGTGCTCTGCATCCAGACAGCGGAGCCCAGCTCGGCAAGGTGCAGTTGCGAAGGAAATGGTTTCTCCAAAATATAAACGGGAGAGACATTTTCACCCAAACTCTCCTGCAACTAGAGTCTGGGGACTTCACGCCAAGGGTTCTGACCCCGCTTTGGGGCACAGCTGAGAAAGAGACTATTCCCATTTCTGCCGCTGGACCCCCAGCTCTCTGTTTGGGGGGACAGTAAGCTGAGAGTGGCAGCTCATGCCTCCGCCTTGCCAGTCTGATCCTGGGAAGTCCCTGGCTTCTCCAGGCACCCATGCTCTGTGCCCAGAGAGCGGAACCCATCTCTGCTAGGCACAGTTGCAAAGGTGGCTATTTCTCCAAAATATAAACAGGAGAAGCATTTTCACCCTCACTCTCCTGCGTCTGGAGACTGAGTGATTTGTGCCAAGGGTTCCGAATTCGCCTTGAGGAAGATATGGGAAAGAACCAGTTACCATTTCTGTAGCTAGTCCCCATCTCTGTATTTGGAGAGACAGAGAGCTGAGAGTGGCAGCTTGTGCCACTGCCCTGCCAGTGTGATCCTGGGAAGTCCCTGGATTCTCCAGGAGCCTGCGCTCTGCGACCAGAGAGTGGGCCTGGCTCAGCAAGGTGCAGTTATGAAGGAGGCTGTTTTTCCAAAATATAAATGGGAGAGACACTTCATTCCATACCCTCCCTAGTGACTTGGGACTAGGTGCCTTGGGCCAAGGGCTCCAAATGCATCATGAGGCAGAGCTGGGAAAGAGTCTGTTCCCATTTCTGTAGCTGGTCTCCAACTCTGGGTTTGAAGAGACAGAGAGCCGAGAGTGGTGGCTCCCCCCAGTACCCTACCAGTCTGATCCTGGGAAGTCTCTCATTTCTCTAGGCACCTGAGCTCAGTGTCCAAAGAGCGGAACCTGTCTCGGCAAGGTGCAGTTGTGAAGGAGGATGTTTCTCCAAAATATAAATGGGAGAGACATTGTCATTCACACCCCCCTTGACTTGGGACCAGGTGCTTCACACCAAAGATCACAACTCTGCCTATGGACAGTGCTGGAAAAGAGACTGTTCCCATTTCTCTCACTGCTCTCCAACTCGGTGTTTGGAGAGTCAGAGAACTGAAAGAGGCAACTCGCGCCACTGCCCCGTCAGTCTGATCCAGATGAGAAAGAACCAGCAGAAGATCACAGGAATCATGAAGGAGCAGAGAGAAAAGTAATCTCCAAAAGAAAACACTCGACCTCCATCAACAGACACCAACCTACATAATATGATCAAACTGATGGAGGAAGAATTTCGAATATGGATTGTTAGAAAGCTCAATGGAATTGAAGAGAAAATAGAATCACAACACAGAGATACCACAAGAACAATTCAGGAAATGAATGAAAAATTCTTCAAAAATATTGAAATTATCCAAAAAAAACAATCAGAAATTTTGACAATGAAAGAAACAATCAAGGATCTCCATAATACAGTGGAAAGCATAAAGAACAGGATGGACCATGCAGAGGAAAGAATCTCAGAGCTCAAAGATTATGCCTATGTGCTAAACAAATCAGAGGAAGAAAAAGAACACAAAAACAAGAAACAAGATCAAAGCCTACAAGAAGTGTGGGGTTATGTAAAAAAGCCGAATCTCAGGGTGATTGGGATGCCAGAAGGAGAAGAGGAACAATCACAAGGGCCGGAAAACCTATTTCACAGAATACTGGAGTAAAATATGCCGGGTCTGGCCAGAAATCTGGATATCCAATTACAAGAAGCATACAGAACCCCTGGGCGACTCAACATGAAAAGACAATCAACCCGTCACATGGTCATTAGATTGACCAAAGTAAATGTGAAAGAAGCAATACTCCATTCAGCGAGACGAAAACAATAATTAACCTATAAAGGAAAACCTATCAGACTAACAGTAGACTTCTCATCTGAAACATTACAAGCCAGGGGGGACTGGGTGCCTATCCTTAATCTTCTACAACAAAACAAAGCCCAACCTAGAATTCTGTATCCGGCAAAACTAAGTTTCATCTATGAGGGAGAAATAAAGTCCTTCTCAGACAAGCAATCACTGAAGGAATTTGCAAAGTCCAGACTAGCCCTACAAGAATTTCTCAGACCTGCTTTTCTAACCGAACAGGGCAATAGACACTCCTCAAAGTAAAATCTTCAAATAATTAAAGCTTAGATCTCAAACTACATGATGGCTCAAAGAGTAAGACAAAGCAACAAGACTCCATCCAACAATATGAATGGAATCCTTCCTCCAATCTCAATCCTCTCAATAAATGTAAATGGCTTAAACTGTCCACTGAAGAGACATAGACTGGCAGAGTGGATAAAAACCCAGAAACCCAGTATCTGCTGTCTACAGGAAACACATCTAACCCACAAAGATGCCTTCCATCTGAAGATCAAGGGATGGAAAACTATCATCCAGTCAAACGGAAGCCAAAAGAAAGCTTGGGTAGCTATACTATTTGCAGATAAGATAAGTTTTAAAATAGCAAAAATAAAAAAGGATAAAGATGGCCATTTTGTAATGGTAAAAGGGAAGATCCAACAAAAATATTTAAAGATTCTTAATATTTATGCACCCAATGCAGGAGCACCTAATTACATAAAGCAAACAGTGACTAATCTAAACACCATGTTACACACCACTACCATAGTAGCAGAGGACTTCAACACCCCAATTAATGATCTGGATAGATCCTCCAAACAGAAAATAAGCAAAGAAATAATAGACTTGAACAGAGCCATTGATCAAAAAGGTCTGACAGATCTCTGCAGAACATTCCATCAAAATAAAGTTGAATATACATTCTTCTCAGCAGTCCATGGATCCTTCTCCAAAATTGATCACATCATAGGCTGGAAATCAGATCTCAAAAAATTCAAGAACATAGAAATTATACCTTGTATCTTTTCTGACCATAGTGGTAGAAAATTACAGTTCAATTCCAATAGAAACACTCAATGCCTCACAAAATCATGGAAAATAAACAATCTATTATTGAAAAATTATTGGATCAATGAAGAAATTCAGAGGAAAATCAAGAGTGTCTTTGAACATAATGATAACAGAATACTAGTGATCAAAACCTGTGGGATACAGCAAAAGCTTACCTGGGAGGAAAACTAATAGCAATTAATGCTCACATACAAAAAACAGAAAGCTTAGATACTGACATCCTAATAAATAAGCTCAAGGAATTAGAAAAAGAAGAGATAATAAATTCCAATCCTAGTAGAATAAAAGAAATAATGAAGATCAAAGCAGAACTTAATGAAATGGAGAACAAGAGAGCTGTATTGAAGATCAACAAAACCAGAGCTGTTGTTTTGAAAAGATAAACAAAATTGATGGCCCTCTAGCTAGACTGACAAGGGCTCAAAGGGAAAGGACGCTAATAAACTCAATAAGAAATGAAAAAGGAGAAATCACAACAGACACA